AATAAATTTTTATAAATTCAAAATTATTTCCAGTGCCTCAACCATTGAAATCTTCCCGCGAAAGAAATTCTTTTAACTAATAAGTTACTATTAGCGCTAGAAAAATTCGATTTATATGTATATTCTTTATTATTTGGGATCATGCTCATTCATTTACGGGAAGATATATTATAAAGCAGTGTTATTTTAAATAACCGTTTTATAGAACGTACTCACTGAAAGTAAAGTAATTCGGTCATGCGCTTTTAGTCACGGAAAACGGATCGAGCATAATACAAAACGCTAAAGAATGTCTATAGAATGAATTCTATAATGCAAAGGACTTATCGATTTCTGAACTGAACTTCCGCATAAAAAAATTCAATTTCAATGTTCATTTGTTTATTTTTCGTTTATATATTGTTTCTTCTTTAGCTTCGCAGCATTTGAACAAATCACACCGATGGTTTCTAACGATAAATTACCATGCTGAACCTTGCCAGATCTTCCTGAGCAAAGACCAAGATGGCAGAAGAAGTTTCGCCAGTTGATCCCATGAAGAAAAGTGAAACGCCGGTGTTTTACGTTGAATCAGATGACCGGCCCAGCGACGACGGTCTTTCTCCCTCTTGTCAGACGGACACTTTGGTTGGAGAAGATCAGGACAAGAAAATATGTTCTACTAGTAGGAACGAAGGCTCGGAGGACGAGGATGAGGAAGAGAAGATTGACTGCGCCAACAGCAAGCTTCGCCATTGTGCGACGGCACAAAAACGAAGTCGTTTTACCGTTGAATCTGTCCCCTCCACTGCGGACATCAGAAAGAAGGCACGTTTGCCAAAGAGAGTGGTAATTATTTCTCAAGATGGCGAACTGGCGCTTCCGAGTCAACCGAGTCTTCAAAAGTCCACAAACGCCCACACTGCTAATGAACTCCCGTCAGTAGAAAAGGTGAGCGAAAACACATTCTATTTGTTTCACGTTCCGCCTCCTAGCATTGACTAGTCTCTTTCGCGATTTCTCTTTCATCTATTTTGCTTCTTGAAAATATTTATCGATAATAATTCATATATCTATTTGTTTTCTCCTTCTTCAGAACGAATTCATTCATTACGGGCTCATGTGCAAGGTCTACGTTGCTCCATCATGATTTATTTAGTCATGCGCTACTTAATAATTTGCATACTTTCAAGGCAATATCAGTAATACTTGATTCACTTACCATTGCGTACTTTCTTCAGTCCTTTCTCTTCTTTCAAAAATTATTTTCCCCGCTGTATAGTAAAGACGCTTTCAAGAGTTCCCTAGGATTGTAATTTCTCTTACCAGCTTCAATTCACTGCACTTCACACCACCGCTTTTCCTTTCGGATCAAGGAGGCAGATGCATCAGACTGTGTTTCCAACCTTCCCGATCCTGTGCTAGAGACTGACCTTCGGCAGAAGACAGTCAGAGACTAGAGAAGACTCCTTCCATGTATTCGCACCAGGTTAATCTTAGCCGTGCCCAGGGCAAGCGCTTCTGGAGGCATTCGCAACAAATACCCAACCATCGCAGCTGTGACTTGTCAGTCTGAAGAAGCAGCCGCAGTACAACAAGGCGCTTTCGGATTTCTGCACTTCGGACCTTGTCGTCTCAGAAAGTACATTTCAGCCACGTGCATCAGAGATCAAAGTTTTTCAGTCATGGTCCACGATTCATGACCAACGAACAAAACCGTTTACAATCATCAATATTCTCGTTTCGACATCCCCACGTTAATAACCTCATTGCCCTAGCTGCGGAAGACTATTCTATCTATGAATAACATAAACAGGAGAGGAGATTGAACGAAACCTCGGCGAAAACCAGTACGAACGCTGAAAGACGACGACTTAATGCCATTTACACTGACACACCACCTGTTATTAGTGTATGTTAATTGGACGGTCCGTAGAAACTGGCTACCAATTCAATATGTTCACAGTCAAGCCCGTAGATTGCTGCTCAGGAACCGGTCTTAGGGTTTCTCTAGGTCCATAATTCATACGTAAACCTCAAGAGTTGAACTCCCACGATTTCTCAACTGCCTGAAGTAGGGCGAATATCTGGGCAGATATGCTTCGACCGGAGTGAAAGCCACACTTACCTTGAATTCTAGAGTCGGTTAATTGCCGCAACTCTTTTCTAGCAGTTTTACATCGATTTTCCGCAGTAGGTTTAAATGTTAATGGACCAGTAATTTGAGCACTCTCGATAGATTCTTGAGCAGGAAAGCTACGGGGAGTCCAACCTCACAACCTCCGTTTGCGACTTCTTGTATCTTCGTCGTAGCTGTTGCCGTTTCGCAGAGAAGTGCAAGCCAGCACATACCCACTTCGCCTAATGCCTTGATCATTTCACGGCGGATTTCATCAATTCCAGCAGCCTTTCCATTTTTCAAGCACTTTACAGCTTGTATTGATATTACAGAAATAGCAATATCCATTCACTGCTGATTTGCAGGTAAGTCTACATGCGGGTGTTCGTGATAAAGGAGCTTCTCATAGCACCTTCACCTTCGTTGAAGAAAGTCATCATCCTTGATAAAAAGATGTCCAGACCTGTCCGCCTTTTCACCTCAGAGATAACGCAATGTCTGCCAAAATGCCGTGTTTGCTGTCTGAAAACTTGACTCTAACAGCTCAGTGTACTACTCCAAGGAATCAGCCCAGAAATTTGGATTTCGCCACTGCTTTTGGTGTCGCCTTTCGCGCTTCGACATATGGCATGTGATTAGAAGGTTCTTCGGTCGTGAACACAGGCTTCTTGTCGGTTATAGATAGATGTACCTCTCATGTTCTGCAGGAAGTTCGTTTCCGACCTCCAGGCGGCATGCTAACTCGTTCTTTCTCTCGGAGTGAAGGCATGTTCCAATGTCAGACTGTAGGCTCCCAATGGAGGTGTCGTTATCGTGGAGCCCTTATTTGCATGCTACAATGGCATCGCGTTGTATGCCTCCTCCGTTCAGAACGGGTAACGACTCGGTCGCTGAGTGGTATCTTCGTCGTCTTTCTGTCGATCTTCGTCATCCGTTATTATGCTGCTACGACCCCGGCTGACAGAAGGCGATGAGCAGGTTCTGATCGCCGACTTTTCGTATCCTGCCTGA